TACCCCCCCCCCCATAATAAAGAAAGAAAGAAAGAAAGAAAGAAAGGAACTTGCCCACGATTACAAGAGTAAATGAAACAATCAGGGTTCAAGCCCACCCAGTCCAACCCCAAAGCGCAGAAATTTAAGTTTCCTTCACACGGTCCTGCTTTTCTAACACAAGTTCTTTGATGAGATTTAAATCTCATCATGGAGCGCCACTAAAAAGTTTTTCAGTACCTGCCACTTTGTTTCTTTTCCATCTTTTGCTAATGGCTTCGGTTTTCTCTCCTGGGAGAGAAGGTGCACAATGGAAAGGGGAGTTTCGCTCCAAAAGGTCTGTCTGATCCTTTTTCCTCTCCCCAAAAGCCTGTGTGTGACTCAAGTGAATCTATCCCAAGGCATCATCTCTTGGCGTTTAGAGAATCACTAATCATCACAGCTGCTATTTGCGTCAGTTTATTCCCTTAAAGCTCTAAGGGCTTGTGTTGTGTTTTCAATTTCTTATGCTGGTAAAATAGGTGGCAGCATCCTTATTTATAGGTAGAAAACGTTGGATCCAAGAGACTTTAGTGAATGGGCAAATCAGTTCTCTGGCGGCGGATTACCAGTAAAACAAGACAGTCGAATTAGATATTCCTTTGCAAGAACAAAACGTTAATCTTTGTTGACCTCAGAGTTAGGAAAGAATTTGGAAACAAAATCGGTTTCACATCTCAGGTGTATTTCTACTAGGTCACTACAGGAAATAAAATCCGGCGAAGGCCGCCCCCGCCCCCCAACCCTAAGTAACCGGGCACGATCGAGGGTGGCTCACTCCTCCATCGCGCTCTTCAGAGCAAGATAGGAACGAGTATCATGCGGTGACTTGCGGTAGTGGGGACCGATTTTGGCAAAGGAGCAGGGAAAGGAAGTGTGCTACGCCATCAAAGATCCCCACGCTCGGCTGCCACAGGGACGGTGCGAGGTCATCCACGGTTGGGCAGCTCCGGGGAAGCGTGAGCTTTTAGCTTTCTGGAGACTGGCAGAAGCGGCTGCAGCGTCCGGAACGTCTTGTTCCGGAAGCAGACAGGACGCGCTGACGTTGGCCACGCCAGTTTGCAGCTTGCAGGCCAGGGGCGAAGCCGATGGCTTCTTGGACTGCTGTCAGCCTGAGCAGGGCAGCTGCCCGATGCTCGAGAGCGCGAGGCCCCAGCGTCCGCGCGGCAGCTCCTCGCATCTCCCAGCTTGAGATTCTGGGCTTCCACTCCGCTCCGGGTAGGACGCTGCACCTCACCGCGGAGGCCCCCGCCGGGCACAATAAGTGGTCCAAAGTCCGGCACATCAAGGGCCCCAAGGACGCCGAAAGGAGTCGCATTTTCAATAAGCTTTGTCTCAGTATCCGCCTGGCCGTTAAAGGTGAGAACCTGTTTGTCAGTCAGTGCTGGCCGCCGATGGCCTCTTCGTGCTTATGTCCTTGCTTGCCTCCGGGAGCTGGGCCATGGCCCACCCGACCCTTGACCCTTCATTTTCTTTTCCCCAATTGTTGTCGTTGCCCACTTCGAAACGTCTACTTAAATTGGATGTGCCACTCACTTTTCCAGACAGCTTTTCTTGTCAGAGAGGGAACTGGCCTTTGGAAGAGAAGAGGTAAAAGTGATCTCATCCAAAGTGTGTATCTAGGTGCTTCAGATTTCATAGAAACATCCTAAGAGTCAAGTCGGATGTGTGTCTCTCCTGAAGAGACAAACCAGGCTCTTTGCAGTTGCCTGTAGTAGCATGTGGGTTGTAGCAGGGGCATTGAATAAAGTTATTACTTGGTGAGGCCTCAGTTGTCATCATGAGGATTTCCTGAGGCACATTTTCTTGGAAGGTAGGTTTGCAACCAGTTGCAAGCCTCTCTAAAAGGTCTGTTTTCTTTTTAGTGTTGCACACCCATAGATACAGGGGGAAACTCCTGTAAAAAGCATGGACAAAGGGGCTGAGGATGTCACTGAGTGGTACAGTGCTTGCCCAGCATGCACTAGTCCTGGGGTTTGATTCCCAGCATCACCCAAAACTGAGGGAGGGGAATGTGTATGGACTTTGGAGTTAGGATTTTGGATTTTGTCACTGACCAGCCTATCGTGTTGAGCAAGTGGCTTAACTTTGCTGAGTTTGTTTCCATTTCTCCAAAACAGAAAAAATGTCACCTTAAAGTAGTTTGGGGGGGACATAATAGGCATTCAGTTAGTGCTAATTTCCCCCTACAACTCATGCCTGATAGTTCTCTTTGCTGCTGCTGGTTCCTTACTGGGGATCAAACTCAGGATGCTGTGCTTGCCAGGAAGGAGTGGTGCCACTGAGCTACATCCCCAGCCCTGCTTCTTCTGGAACTGTTAATTGAACCTAGGAACACTCTGACACTGAGCTACATCCCAGCCCTCTTTGTTTTTTAATTGGGTCTTACTAAGTTGCCAGGTGAGATTCAAATTTATGGTCCTCCTTCCTCAGCCTCTCTAAGTGCTAGGATTATAGGTATGCACCACTGAGCCCGGCCTCTTCTTTTTAAAATCAAATCCAGGACCTTGCACATGCTAAGAATTTTGTTGTTATTTTTGTTTTGGTTTATTTTTGGTATTGGGAACCGAACTCAGGACCTTGCGCTTGTGAGGCAGGCACAGAGCCACTGAGCTAAATCCCTGGCCCCTGGTTTTGGGTTTTTTTTTTTTTTTTTGGTACCAGGGTTCAAACTCGGGGCCTTGCGCTTTCGAGGCAGGCACCAGGAACCACTGAGCTAAATCCCCGGCTTGGTTTTTTGATACAGGGTCTCATTATGTAGCCCAGGCTGACCTCCAACTGGTGATGATCCTCCTGCCTCTGCCTCCCAAATGCTGGGATTACAGGCATGTGCCTACACCTGGCAAGAATTCTTGATATTAAGTTTGACTAACACTACTGAGTGTTTATTTCATGCCAGGCATTGGTAAATCAAAGATTATAAGATAACAACCCCTACTGTCAGAGATGGCATGAGTATAATGTCTTGTGAGCATTTCAATAATTATGCCTAAAGTAATAGAGCAAGAACAAGGGAGTATGAATACATTCAGGAGATACTGTTACTATCTCTCTTGCCTCTTCAACTGATGAAAAGAAGTTCACAGAAACCTAGCAGAATGATAACTATCTAAAGGCAATATGAATTAGAAATTTTTTTCCAAGATGCTTCTCTATATCCCATTCAAACACTGGATAGTGTTGCAACAGTGAGCTAATGGTAGCTTGCTATTGTTTTGGCTAGAGGGAGTGGGGAGGGAGCTGGAAATCTCTTTTTTCTCCTTTTTTGTAATAAGATGTCTTTGCTCACTCTTTTCGTTATCTCAGAGGGAGGCCCCAACCCTGAGCTCAACAGCAACTTGTCTCACATCTTAGAGGTGTGTCGAAGCAAGCACATGCCCAAGTCAACAATCGAAGCAGCACTGAAAATGGAGGTGTGTGTTCAATTTAACATTCTTACTGATTACAGCCCCAACACTATTCATTTTTGGAAGGCCACTAAATACTCCTTAAATTAGCAGAGAAAGAGTAGATGTGTGGTTCACTGCCTTGGCCCACAGGCCTCTGGAGGTTTTCTGTCCTTGGCTGTTTGTTGGAGAAGTCCAGCTGGGAATAGGATGGGTAGACAGTGTGCAGATACACAGTCTAAGACTGCTTGGCCAAGCTGTAAGAGATGTGATCAAAGCATACGGAGTTGGGGGAAAGCTCTGATGTTAGGTTGAAGAAGGGTTTGTTTTTCTTTTTCAGACGTTTATGCTGTAAAGAAGAAAAGCCAGTGGAAAGGGAAAGAGTGGGAATGATAGTGATGGTGGAAGGAGCAGGGACGTTGAGGTCTGGTGAGGATACAGCTCTTCTTCTTTTTTTCTTCTTTCTTCTTCTTCTGTACCAGGGATCAAACTCAGGACCTTGTGCTTGCCAGGCAGGCGTGGTGCCACTGAGATAAATCCTCAGCCTGATAGCTTTTCTTCTAATACTGTACAAGTAAGAAGGATCTGAGGAAGTTAATAATCTGCATTATTATTATGGTACTGGGAATGAAACCCAGGGCTGCTCTACCACTGAGCTATGTCCCCTGGCATTGTTTTTTTTTTTTTTTGGTACTGGGGATCAAACTCGGAACCTTGCACCTGCAAGGCAGGCGGAACCACTGAGCTAAATCCCTGGCCCCCCAGGCATTTTTTAAAAATAAATTTTTATTTTATTTTATCTTATTCCCCCTTAAGCCCCCTCCCCTCCCTATGTACAAAAGCGTTGTTTCCATTTTTTCCTTCTATTTTCACTTTTTTTTTTTTTTCTGGTACAGGGGATGATTGAACTCAGGACCTTGCACATTCGGGGTGGGCACAGTGCCACTGAGCTAAATCCCTGGCCCTTTATTTTCATTTTTTTTTTTCTTGTCCCTTCCTTCCTTTTTCCTTCCCTCCTCCCTTGTTCCCCTTCCCACTGGAACACCTTCTTCCCATTTCCCAACTCCCATTAATACATCTCAGTCCTTCTTTCTTTTTTTTTTTTTTGAGACAAGGTCTCACTTTGTAGTTCAAGCTGGCCTTGAACTCACTGTGTAGCCCAGGGTGGCCTTGAACTCATGGTGATCCTCCTGCCACAGCCTCCCAAGTGCTGGGATTACAGGCATGTGCCACCACACCATCCCCAGGCCTTTTTTTGGTACCAGGGATCAAGCTCAGGACCTTGCGCTTGGGAGGCAGGCACGGTGCCACTGAGCTAAATCCCCTGCCTCAGCCCTTTCAAAATTTTTTTTATTAGAGATTTGAGACAGGGTCTTGCAAAGTTCCCCAGCTAGCCTCAAACTCATTATCCTCTGCCTCAGCTTCCCAGCTAGCTGGGATTACAGGAATGTGGCACCATACCTGGCGAATTATCATTTTAATAGCTAGTAGTTATTGAGTGCTTGTTCCAGACCAAGTACATTGATGAAAATTCTGTATGCATCATCTCAGCAAATCCTTAAAATGATGTTAAGTGGAAACTGAGGGACAGAAAGGTTAGGTGACCTGACTTAGGTTACACAGAAAATGACAGACTTGAGACTAAACAGCCAACTCCAGAGCCTGCGCTCTAACTGGTAGACATATTTTCATCTAAGCCATGGTGGAGACAGGATTTTTCCCCACCCAGTGGCCCTGTATTTCCTTTGTGAGAAGAGGAGAAGTCATCAGTTGAGAACTCTTGAAAAAAAGGTGCCTGGAGTGAGTCTGGAGATCAGATGCATGGACAAAGGATGAATTGAAGTGTGGGGAGTCCAGATGAAACTGGTCACTAGAGTTTTGCTGTTTGAATTTTGAGGTCATGCTGTTTTCAGTGGCTCTCATGCCGTGGCCCAGGTATGTGATTTTTCTGCAGCAGTGTTCAGCAAAACCTGAGGTAGGAGCACTGAGACATTACAGGTGGATTTTGTGTAGAGTGGGGTATAGATGAATTAATCATGGAAGTGGTGACTAGGGAATTGATGGAGATTTGGAAGGAAGCAGAGCTGGGGATGGCTGATTAGTGAGGGATGAGGGAAGCAGACTTCCCAGGAAGGAATAGTACTTCTAGTTCTCTAAGAAGTTGATCCCAAAGGCCTCCTCAGAGAATGGGGACAAAAAGACCTGAGAGCCCAGAATCCTGCCTAAGGAGCCCATCCCATGGAGTCAACTTTGTGGTGCCTGTGGAATGGTGCTGGCATGTGAGAGGGAATTGGAAAATGAGAGAATGTGTTCATGTTGTTTATTGCAGAAAAATAAGGACATTTATTTGCTGTATGGGGGTCGAGGCCCTGGCGGCTCTTCTCTGCTCATTGAGGCATTATCTAACAGTGGCTCCAAGTGCCAGTCAGACATTAGACATATCCTGAACAAGAATGGGTAAGTATGTGTTGGAGGGAGAGGAGGGGGGAAGAGAACAGAGCCTTTAGGTTCCAATTCTATGCGAGGCAAATACCTGGTGGTCTTTAACATACTTCTTCCTTAGCAGACTCCAAAGGCATTACTGATTTCCTTTACTAGGCAGGATCTAAAAGACATGTTTATCAAGTATAGACAGGATCTTTGTCTGATTATTCCATCTGAAGCTATATAAGGCCTAGGTCTTAAAATATTGCACCAGGACTGAAGTCTTAATGGTACAGGAAATGATGAGCCAAGTCTTTGCATCCTCCAGACTCCAATCAGGGCAGAAAATAGAGGGTGAAGATGATCCCTCTATTTTCCCTTACCCAGTGGCAGCTGCACCTTCTCCTTCAGGGAGGTACCTGTTCCATATCTGTGTGTCCTCCCAATGCTGAATGGGGAAGAGATAACATTAGAAGGCTGTGCTTTGTGGAGGCTGAGTGTCTAAAGGCGTTCACACACTCCATCCCCTTTCCTCTCCTGACAGAGGAATGATGACTAAAGGAGCATGTCACTGGTTTGACAAAAAAGGGGTAGTCACCGTTGGAGTGGAGGACAGAGAGAAGAAAGCTGTGAACCTAGAGCGTGCCCTGGAGCTGGCAATTGAAGCAGGGGCTGAAGATGTCAAGGAAGCTGAAGATGAAGAAGAGAACTTTTTTAAAGTGAGTGGGAAGCATTTGTGTTTCTTGGGCTCCTGAGAGAGCTTTAAGAGATGCTTTAAGGGATGCCTCTTAGTTTCCTCCTTTTTGTGCCCCAGGGTATAGGTAAGCCAGACCCTTCACATATTACACAGTTACTAAGTGAATATTGGATAGGACCTGCCCTACTGAGGATGATGAGAAGGATTCAGAACCTTGAGAACTGAGTGTTCATTGCAAAGCAGTGGTTCCATTTAAGACTGTGAAGTTCTACCTGGCTTTGTCGTATTACCTCCTAGCTCCTCACCTCCTGACTTTCCTTTCTCTCTAGTTTATTTGTGATGCCTCTTCACTGCATCAAGTGCAGAAGAAGCTAGACTCCTTGGGCTTGTGTTCTGTGTCCTGTACACTGGAGTTCATCCCCCACTCAACGGTACAGCTGGCTGACGCGGACCTCAAGCAGGCTGCTCATCTTATCCAGGCTCTTGTCAGCTATGAAGATGTGATCAATGTCTATGACAACATTGAGTAACCAGACTGTATGTGCCCTTGGGCTCCTTCCTGGGCAAGAGTCAGCCCATCCTGGAGCACAGGCTTCTACAGCCATCTCTGAGATGGAAGTAGGTGAGAAATGTAGCAGACTAGTCCTAAGGCTAGGACTTGTGGCTTCAGGGTCAAGGGAATCCCATACTTCTGTGTGGCTGCTTTGTCAGCTCTGGTGGTGTCTCAGCCCTCCTGGATGCAGGGTGGGACCAGCCGGCTTGGGTGTCTCTGATCTCAGGTAGCCCTTGTGGGGACTGTAAGTATCCCAAAGCCCTGTATACTAGAAACTGCTCTTTACTTACTTTTTTTTTTTAAAGACAGGGTCTCGCTATGTAGTTCAGGGTGTCTTTGAACTCGCTATGTAGCCCAGGCTAGCCTCAAATGCATGGTGATCCTCCTGCCTCAGCTTCCCAAGTGCTGGGATTACAGGCATGGGCTACCATGCCTGGCTAGAAACTGCTCTTTAATAACAACAGTGGTTGATCTTGGTTTTGGATGCCTCTTGAGTTGTCCTGAGTTTGTGCCTGGTTGTTGGGACTTCTAGACTTAATTTCCAGGTCCCTGGGCTTAGTTCTGTATTCTAATCCTAGGACTGTCATTTATTTATTTATTTTTGATAGTGGCTGGATCCAAGCATTCTGTGGCCTGTTGCTGGTTTAGTTGTCATTCATTCATGTTACAAATGTTCATGAAATTCCTATTTCTCACATACTGGCCACGTACCAGGAACCCTACTTACCTAGAGGACAGACTGCTCAGGTGACCCTGTGTTACATTCTGCTCTAAGAGGTGGGACCTCAGAGGGAGGATGCAGGGCTGTTCCCTGTGAGAGCTATGCTAGGACAGTGTGCTGCCATTGTGCATCTTTGTCTTCTTTGTGTGGCCTTCGTGCCCTTCTACCAGAGAACTTACAGCTGTAGCCCAGAGGAAATTAGATGCTGGTGATGAGGGACTCCCAAGGCCCTGTGTCGCCTGCCCCCTTGTATCCTGAGATTGGTCAGTAGATTAGGCTCCTCTCCAGAAAGGCTACACCAAGCTAGGTTTGAGAGCCACAAGGACCCAGAACTTCCAGCCCTCTCCTCTTTTCAACCTCCATGCCAAATGATGGAACACTGGGAACTGAGGAGGAAGAAGGGACAGAAGGAAATGAGAAGGCCTGAGTCAGAAGCCTGTCCCTTGGTGCCTTTTGGTCCTACTAGTCATTTCCTGGTTCAGAAAGGCCGGAAGGGTCAACCACCTGTCCCTGTCAAGCAGTTGGCCAGGAGTGGCTTTTGGGCACCTGTTATCCACCTGATTGTAAGTTGTAAGACATTTCTGAACTCAGAGTAATTTTCCTGAAGGAGCCACAGAAAGATGGAAAAGAACTAAAACCAAATTGACTATTCATAACACCTTTAGCTTCTAGGAAAAACAGTTGACTAATTTCACAGTGACTTCAACCAATGATGAGCAATGGTTGGGGGAAAGAAAACAAAAAAGTAGTCCAAGATCATGCCAAAGGATATGCCCTTATACTTCATTTCATAATCATACTACTATCTAGGACTCTTTAGTTTTTGTAGGAGATAATTCATCAACATATCTGAATAGCACAGCATTGAAATAGGCAACTTTAAGTCTATATGCTACTTCATAATCTAGAAGATACTGTTATATGTTGTTTGATTTTCCCAACAAACCTATTAAATAGCCCGGCCAAGTATTTTATGCCAAAATGATCTCATACCAAGCAGGTGAAGACACATTTACTACTAGATTTTATATTTATAGAACTTGTTTATAAAAATAGGTTTGTTTTTCTGTGTAGATAGGGAAGGGTGGAGGGGGTGAAGGGTGCACAGGTAATGGGAGAAAAAATAAAAACTAAGATGCATCATGTTCTGGTACAAACACCCAGTGATAAATGTAAATGTATTTTATACCTAAAATGTACCAATAAATATATATATTTAAAAAATTAAAAATTAAAAAAAATAGGTTTGTTTTGGAAATATTGAATATAAATTAATTTGGAGGAATCCAATCATTTCTAATTTAAGAAATGTGTATTAAAGGATCCTACTTTTTTTTTTAGTACTGGGGATCTCACTCAGGACCTTGCGCTTTCGAGGCAGGTGGCAGTACCACTGAGCTAAATCCCTGTCCCCCCCCCCCCTTTTTTTGATACAGGCTCACTGTGTGGCTCAGGCTGGCTTTGGACTCACCATGTAGCCCAGGCTGCCCTCGAGCCTGCACTGATCGTCCTGCCTCAGCTTTCCCAGTGCTGGGATTGATTACAGGCATGCACCACCATACTTGGCTTACGTGGCTGGTTAAAGAATCCTTTTTTTTTTTTTTTAAAGAATCCTATTTTTTTTTTTTTTTTGGTACCGGGGATCGAACCCAGGTCCTTGCGCTTAAAGAATCCTATTTTTAAAGGGAAATTGGTTAATTACGTTATTAGGAATCCTCCAATCTAATAGTAAATTTATTAATGTGGATTTTTGCATAACCATTTTTTTTTAGGGGGAGGAGGGTCTTGCCATGTAACCTAGTCTGGCCTCGAACTCGGGGCGATTTTCCTGCCTCAGCACCCCGAGTGCAAGGATTATAGGCATGCACCCACCACGCCCAGCATCCATTTTTCTGATTTGGGGCATGTATTGTAGGTACCACGTGTACACTCAGCACCGCCCAGCAACAGCCCTGTAAAGATAGCTCTGCACCGACCCCTAGCGGTACCCAGCTCTCTCCTGCAGTTAACTAGGTCAGGCGGAAAGGAAGCCTTGCTTGATTGAACCTCTTAGGCTCTCTTTAGATCTGAAGAAACCCTGAGCTGGGCAGGGGATTTAGCTCAGTGACACCAGGCCTGCCTCGCAAGTGTAGGGTCCTGAGTTTGATCCCCGGTACCGGAAAAAAAAAGCAAAAAACCAAACAAAAACCCCTGAGCTGGTTAAGTAAAGATGTTCAACATCCGTATGATGAGGTATTATGGTGCCACTAAAGCTAATTTTTTTTCTGTCGATAATCCCAGCAATTTGGGATTTAAGTCCAGTTTAAGACCAGCCTGGGCCACTTAGACTGTTTCAAAATAAAATTAAAAATGTCTGGATCAATGGTAAACTGCTTGCCTAGATAGCTTTTTTCTTTTCTTTTCTTTTCTTTTTTTGGTACCAGAGATCGAACTCAGCACCTTGTGCTTTCCAGGCAGGTGGTGGAACCACTGAGCTAAATCCCTAGCCCCTGCCTAGGATACGTTTGTTCCTGATGGTGCCAGACAAAAAGGTTATTTTTAAAGAATATTTTATGTCAGAAAATGATTACAGGGCCGGGGATTTAGCTCAATGGTTTCGCCACCTGCTGTGCCTGCTGCACAAGTGCAAGGACCCAAGTTCAATCCCCGGTACCAAAAAAAAAAAAAAAGAGAAAATGATTACAATATAGTATTAAGTGAAGAAAGATACAGGAATTTTGAAATACACTTTTATATAACATGATATATATTATGTGAAAATTTTTATAAGGCTTGAAGGAAATGTACTAAAATATTAAAACTGGTTATCCCAGAATGGTGATGTTATTGAGTTTTATAGTTTATCATCATGTATTACTCTTATCAGGTGAACTACTTTATTTTAATTTTATTTTTTTGGTACTGGGGATCGAACTCAGGACCTTTCGCTTGCAAGGCAGGTGGCGGAACCACTGAGCTAAATCCCCAGCCCTGGTGGAATATTTTACAAAAGGCAAACGAACAAGCTACTCACTTTATTGTCAAACTAGGGAGACAGCTTCTGCTTGTGCAGGAGCCAGGTGTGCCTTACTATCAGTGGAATCCAGGTCTGGAACTGGTTTGCCTTATCTTTGGTCATTGTCTTAGCAACACAAAATCATTCAAGGCCTTGAAGACACTTTAGCCTTACTTTTTTGATGGGATAGAAATATTTGTGAGAGGGTCTGTCCACAGTCTTGATTCTTAAAAGAAGGGCTCCTGTGTGTAGCTGCCAGAGTCCCTGGCTGAATCAAAGAGAAATAATGAAGGCTTTTTCTTTAACCAACTGTGGAAATTCAACCACATTGTTTTTTTTTACTTTTTTTTTCCTCCTGAAACTTATAGCAAAGTAGTCAATAAACCTTCAAACCCCAAGAAGCTGCAACTGCCAGACTTCTTTTTCTTTTTCTCTTTTGAGATGCTAAATTGCCCAGGTTGACCTCAAACTGGAAATCCTACTGCCTCAGTCCTCCATCCCCTTCCCCACAAGTAACTGGTTGCAGGTGTGCACCACCATCCCTGCTACCCCCAGACTTATTTGAATCCCAGTGGACTCCCCTGAAGAAAATAAGGGTCAAAGTGAATGCTATGGTGGTAGTTACCACACTAGTCTCTCTTTTTTAAAAAATTTATTTATTTATTTATTTATTTATTTATTTTTGAGACAGGGTCTTGCTTTGTGGTGCAGGGTGGCCTCAAACTCATGGCAAACTCATGGCGATCCACCTGCCTCAGCCCGAGTGCTGAAGATTTCAGGTGTGCGCTACCACGCCCAGCAAGTTAGGAAGAATTTAAGTAATTTAAAATTTCGGCCTGGGAATATAGTTCATTGGTAGAGTTCTTGCTTAGCCTACGTGAGGCCCTGGTCTCAACCCCCAGCACTCCAAAATTAAATAAAATAAACATAATTACTTAATTTAAAATTTCTCCTAGCAGGGATGGATGATGAAAAAATAAAAGTTGAAAACCCCCAGCTTAGTGCCTCTGGGAGTCGGGCAGACCTGGTTCCACCACTTGAACATGGAATTTAACCTCTGAGCTGCACTTCCACTTAAATTCCAATAGTATTATTTACCTCCGTTATTGGAAAGTTTAAATGAGATGACATAACCTGGCAGATAGTAATGACTGATAAATTTGTTTTTCTTTCCCTTCTCAGAAAATGTTATACTTTCCCAGTTTTCAGTTTTTGTACAAAAAGTTTGTGTTGCTTTTCTAAGTAAGAAAGAGAAGTTATTTTCCGAAAGAACCTCTGGTAGAACTCAGAAAATGTGGGCACCTATATTCCAGCATTACCCCACTTCTGGGGCCGAAGGATCCGAGACCCGAGGGTGTGGCCCCAGAGCACAGCAGGCAGTGGCGAGGCCGCCTCCCGCCCAGCGCAGCGTCTGGCCTGGAGGACTAACTCGGGGACTGGGCGGCAGAGGTGGCCACAAGCCGGGAAGCACTCAGCCAGACTCTCTCCGCCCGTTTCGAGTCCTTGCTGGGCACCGGGAGGGTCAGGACGCCGGCCTCTGGAAACCGCCTGGACCGCGGCGGCCCGCGGAGAACCTAGAGGGCGGGAGGCGCGAGCGCCCTACTGCTGCCTTCTAACCCCGGCGCTGGAGTAGCTCAGCCCGCGAGCCAGCCGAGCCTCCGCTGACTGCCCGGAGGTTGGAATGTGGGCGGAGCCTCACTCCGGAGCAGTGATTGGAGCGAGCGACACCTCCCGGGGAGAGGGGCTAGAGCGCCAGCGAGGGATGCGCAGAGGTGGATGCTCAGAGGCCTCTCCGTGATTGGATAGCAGTGGGGGGAACCAGGCGCTGTCTCGATGATTGGCAGGCTCCCGGTAGTCCTCGGAAACCGCCTTGGCTTCTCCCATTGGTATCCTGAGAGTAGGCGGGACTGATTCATCGTGTGGTGTTGATGATTAGCTGGCTGCTGAGAGTTAGGGTGTTGGAAGAGAGGTGGGGAGGGGGCGGTGGAGGCAGCCGACTTCCTCCTCCTCATTGGCTGCTGAAGTGAGTGGGGGTGGTGCAAAGGTCCAGTAGCTGCCTGTGATTGGTGCGTGCTAGGGTGAGTGACAGGCAGTGGGAGAGCTACGCGACCAGTGGTTTGTTTTTCGGAGCGTTCTTGAGGTGGAGAACAGTGGCCGGACCGAGAGACTGCGGAGTAGGGGACTGGCGGGCGGGCAGAGCGGCGCCTCCGAGGCCGGGCTAGGCCTAGCCCGGGAGTGCCCGGGATGTAGCGGCCCACCCTGCCCATGCCACAGCGCCCGGCCGCGGGTGGAGCCGGAGCCGGAGCCTGGGGAGGCGGCAGGGGCCCGGAGCGCAGCCCGCGGCCCCCGCGCGGAGCCAGGTCCGCCGCCGTCCCTGCCGCCCGGGCCCCCGGCATGCAGCCCCGGCTGCGAAGGTGACACTTCTGGGCCCGAGACGCTGTCGTCGCCACCATGGGTGAGTGTCGCCAACGCCCCGGCCTGTGCCCGCGCTGCCTCGCGACGCCCCACCCCGGGCTGAGGGGAGGAGGACCCTGGGCCGCAGCCTGACAGGCATGGACTGCCCGCCCGGCCTGGGGCTGCGGACCGCAGTCCCTGTCTGCCAGCTCGTGGCGTCCCGAGCCTTCAGGGCGGCCCGGCCCTCCGATCGCACTCGGCAGCCCTCCTTCCGGGTGGCGCGAAGGCGGCCCGACCAGGGCCGGTGCTCGGCCCGCAGCTCGCTCCGACCCCTGCGAGCCGGCCCACGAGCCCGAGGGCGGGGGAACGAGAGCGCAATGTGGGGCTGGGGCTGTAGGCTGGTGCAGGCCCAGCTGCTGTTGTGTCTTTTCCTTGATTTGCTTTTTTTTTTTTTTTTTTTTTCCTGCCTGTGTCATTTCCTTCCCTTTGCTCACACAGGCTGGCCTGTGAGAGTTCCCGGGGCTTGCTCTCCAGCCCTGTGGGCAGCCGGGCGCTGGGGGGAGGGCGAGCGGAGATTCGCTACGCGGTGATTAAACGCAGATCTGTTACCCATCGCGCGGTTGAGAAATGCGCGCTGCACGCAGATTGCTGGAGGTTGGAAATGGCCGGGTGCTGCTGGTTATAGTTCATATCCTACTTTTTCGAAAATCTGGTTGCAGTGTTTTAGTTCTATTATTTTTATCGCATGGTATCCCTGTTACTTTTGAAAGAACATTGACCTCACGAGAGAATCTCTATGAAATCATTTCCTTGTTGTCAGTGTTTGCAATTCCGGCTGTGAAGATGTAATCTAAGAAAATCTTTAAATGTCTTTCAAACGCAGCATTTGAACTGAATTATATTTCGCATAGTTTTTGGTACTTCAGGAAATTACTCTTGACCAAATTACCCGGCAAATAACATTTTAAGTGTAATTTGCCTCTCCTGTCGCTACAGGTGTTGTGATACTATCGTCTCTAATCGCAAGTTTTGCAGAATATTTGGTATTGACCTAAATGATAAATGAATAAACTTTAATGAACGTAAAGATCTTTTGCAAAATCAATAATTGCTTCTGTGAAATTCCCCATGTGAAGAAGATTGTTAATGTTTGCTTTGTCCCATAGTAAGACCAAGTCATTTTTGCAGGAGGCTAAGTGTATATGCTGTGTCATATTGACCAGATATACTCATGTGTGACCCATCTCCACACTGACTTTGAATGAATTGGCCTGCTCTGTTTCATGGTGTCTCTTATACAGTTTGGGAAAGATTTATTATTTTGCTGAGCCTACTGTTTCCTTCTCATGCTGTACTTCAGAAATGCTTTTTTTAATTGTTTTTTTTTTCTTTTCTTTTCTGGAGGTCTCCCATGACAGGCATAAAAGAAATCCAATTAAGTTCTGATATTTGAATATATAATTCAACTATTATTTATTGAACATTTCCTACAAATGAGGCACAGAATTCTTTTGTTCTCCCCGGGCTTCTAACATTTGTCTTGTGTTATAGAATTGGAACTAAATCTTTGAATTGAATTACGAGCCTGTATTGTAATATTCTTTCTAATTAGTCTTTCCTCTTGTCCTGTGGAGGTAGCCTTAAGACTCAGGGAAATGTGAAATACTTGAGAGTGTACAGTCTCCCCACTCCACACCTTTTTTTGTTGTTGTTTGAGAAGAAGTATCCCTATACATAGTCTAGGCTGGGATCTTACTGCCTCAGCCTCCCAAGTGCTGGGATCACAGGTGTGTGCCACCATACCCACACCCAGCTCCTACTCCACACTTTGACTGCAGAACCAGTAAGCCCACCCTCATAGAGATGAGGGCTACATTTCATAGGTGTGAGCCTGTTTTCATGTTTTAAGATATCTTCAAAAAGTTTAAATGTGAGTATATGGAGAAACAGTAATGGAGAGGAAAGGAAATATATAAGTAGAGCCCCAAAGAAAAAAGTATCAGCAGTGTCTTCTCATTTGTCTCCATGTCAGTTTTACATGAAGAAACTGAACAGTAAAGGGAGAGTTACTTTGTCTGGAGGCTGCAGTATAGCAGGAACTACTGACCTGGCTTTCTTTAGCACTTTCTCTCCATACCATTCCCTTTCTCTTTCTTTTCTATGGATGATTTTTACACACAATTAATGTTGAATTCTGTCAGACCCTTGGCTCTTATTGTTTTGTATTAGGGCTCAGTGAGGATACACAGACACACAGCTTTTTTGAAATACCAGTTACATTTTGATGATATAAATGATAAAAATTCAAATCTCCAGTTTAGTTAGTTTGCTTTGGTTGCTGTAGTTCTAAATAAATTCATTAGCAAGCAAAAGCCTCTAGGTTCAATCCTCAGCACCAAACTAAATAAACAAATTTAAGGGTTTGATAAAAAGAAACATGGACTCCTTAATATTTTGATTAAACTTGTTAAATTTAAGCCCAGTGAAGAAAGGACTAAATTTGCATCCCTGCTTTGCAGGTTCTTTGGTTAATAGTTATATTTCCTGAACTGTTCTATGCTCCAGACTCAAGCTTGTTTGACAGCTTGGGTTGTTAATAAAAACAGGTTAGATGTTATACTGGCTGTTGACCCTACTTCATTTCTGGTGGAAACTAAACTTATCCTTGTAAATAATAGGAAATATTCTGGTTTTTGTTTTTTGGGTTTTTTTTTGTTTTGTTTTTGCCTCTGATATCATGTGGCTATTTTAAAAAATTGGGGCAGGTTGGTTGTTTTTCTTGGTCACACTAGGATTCTCTCCCAGTTTTAGTAATTATAGTAGCAAAATGCTGTTACTAATACCTGAGACTTATTCACTTGTGTTTATTTAGTCTTTCATAAATGCAGTCTAAAACTTAGTAGGATATGTTACTGCAAAATGTGTAATGACTTGGAAATGTTAGGGGAAACTATAGTGAACTGATTATAGGATTAAAGATTGTTTCTGGGTTGAGAACTTGGTTTCAAATCACAATCATTGTGATTTGCAAAGAGAAATCTGTGTCTAGGGTTCCCAAGCTGTTGGAGGTCCCTGTAAGACCAGTCTCAACTCAGTTTGGCTAGACTTGGACCACCTGTGTAGACTCAGAATGATTAGCAACTGTTTTGTTTTTGTTTTTTGGGGTTTTTTTGAGATAGGTTCTCACTATGTAGTTCAGACTGGCCTTGAACTTGAGGTGATCCTCCTGCCTCAGCCTCCCAAGTGCTGGGATTACAGGCCTGTGCCACCACACCCAGCCCAGCAGCTATTTTAATTGAAATGATTACAATTTAATAAATCAAGGGCTGGGGATGTAGCTCAGTGGCACCAAGCCTGCCTGGTAACCGCAAAGTCCTGAGTTCAAGTCCTAGTACCTGGGGGGGGGGAAGATAAATCAACATGGCTATGTCCTGACTGGATTTCTAACATTTTTTTTAAATGACAGTTGGATTTTAAAACTGAATTTTAGGCATTTTTAAAAGGTAAATATCCATCTGAGGATTACTTGGGGGAATATACAGAGGATAAGAAGCAGTTTTCCTAGTTCTAGTAAGTTATCTAATTATTCTTTGCGCATTTATCTAGTGCTTTTGTTCTAGGTATAGCATTAATCCCTGTACTTGCATTATCCTGTCCCAAGAAGTTATAGATAGGTAATGTAAACCAGAAACATATAAACAACTGTAGGATGAGTATTTTTTATCCAGAATGCCTGGGACAAGAAGTGTTCAGATTTTAGATTTTTTTTTGGATTTTGGAATATTTGCATAGACTTCACTGGTTGAGTATCCCTAATCCATTTTAGACTTTGAATTCTTGCATTAGGGATGATCAACCAGGAAGTGTAGGTACAGTATTTTGTCAAAAGTGTGTAAAAGTACACAGGAAGCAGAAAGCATTTCTGTAGTTTAGCACATATAGTTCTTTAGTTTGATTACATCAGATATTAAAGTAAAACATGTATACTGATTCTTATGAGGGAGCAGTGGTTTACTTTGTAATGTGTATTTTTAAATTTTGAATCACCAATTAATATTGAATGTGTATTATATATCCTAGGAACAGAAAAATAAACACCAGAATTTGACTTTGAGATTTAGCAAATGTTCAGCCATATTCTTGAGGGAGAAAAATGTCTTGTGATTTGAGGATTGGTCCTTATTTGCACATAATTATTGTAAAATGATGTTTACCTGGGTATGACAGGGTGGAGGCAGTGGGACTATGTGAAATGCCATGAAAAGGAAAAGGAAAACCTGACTCGGACCCTGAAGCACAGGGTCTTCTGGTTGAACAGTGTGATCAGATGATCTGGCAGAGCTAGGTAGAGCTTGGCAAAATGAATTAGTAATATCAATTAGTTCAGTGAAAACAGACTAAAATATTTCTCTGGGGATTTGTATATATGAAAAAGAGAATGTGTGGCATACACATCTTGCAGGATGACAATGTTTGTAGGGCTACATGGTGCTTCCGGCAAGTTTTCTGGATTTTTAGCCAAGGGAACTCATAAATGGAAGTGCGTCAAAAATCTCCTGCCCCTCCTTTTTTTTAGATAGTAGTAATAGCTGAAGCTGGATAGGTGAATTTCTGTTGGAGCTAAAGAGAGAGATCCACTTCATAGCTCAGGGTATAGGAGAAGAAAAAATGCTTGCCTGGGGAATGATGGTTACTTATTTGTTTAAAACAGAGCCAGGCATTGTGACACACACCTCTAATCCCAGCTCCTTGGAAGGCTGAGGCAGGAGGATTGAAAGTCCACCCTATTCAACTTAGTGAGATCCTATGTACAAAAACAAAAACCCAAACCCACAAAAACAAAAATACTGCTTAAGAGCATACTTTTTTTTTAAAGTAAAGATCTCACTATGTTGTCCAGGTAGTCTTCAAACTTTCGATCCTCCTGCCTCAACCTTCCAAGTGTTGAAGTTAAAGTGTGTGCCGCCACACCAGCTTTCCCTTTCTATTTTCTGTGAATACTCCTCCCTTTCCTAGATTTCTAACTTTTGTGGCGGGGTGGGGGTGGGGGGCAGCAAATATA